CTCCTGGGTTCAGGCAATTCTCCTGCCTCAACCTCCTGAGTAGCTGGGATTACAGGCACGCGCCACCATGCCCAGCTGATTTTTTGTATTTTTAGTAGAGACGGGGTTTCACCACGTTGACCAGGATGGTCTCGATCTCTTGGCCTCGTGATCCACCCGCCTTGGCCTCCCAAAGTGCTGGGATTACAGGCTTGAGCCACCGCACCCTGCAACATGTCGTAAACTATCTTCTACTCAGTATGCCCTTCCCTACTCTAAAAACCACCCAATACCCTTCCACTTCCTTACTCTCCCATACCTACCTTTACTGCCTGGCAAACTTTTATTCTTCCTCCAAACTCTTGCTAAAATGTCATCTCATTCAGAAAGCCTGTCCTATCCATAATCTCCCCTTAGAGAGTTAACATACCCTTCTTTTGTTCTAACTCTGTACCTTATACTTGCTTCTACCATTCCATTTATCATATATTGATATATCATAATATTTTTACGTCTATCTACCTCACTAGACTATGAAATAGACTAAGACACTTACGTTTTAAGAGGGAATGATCTCTAACAGCTTCTGCAGCTAATACAGACTTCCCACAGCCTGCCATTCCATATATGGTGACCCATCCTGGTTCACCATTCAATTTCGAGAGCTTCTGCTGAATTGCATTCACCAGTTTCTTCCTTGCAACAAAAACAACTGGCCTTTGTGGTACTCCACCTTCACATAGGACTGTCCTTACTAAAATCCAAAACAAAACAAGCATGAATGAATAGAACTTTGGAATGATCACTTAAGTAATACCATAAAAACCAAAGAGCAAAGCTGAGGCTTAGCCTGAAAATTTCCAAGAGAAGTAAGAAAATGTGGCTAGCATATTAACTTCAATTTTCTGATTTCTCAGACCACAGACAGCAAAGGCAAACACACATCCTTCAAGGTAACTAAAGAAAATGGAAGCCTCTATCTGTATCTGTCTTTACTCACCCTGCTATTTCCTGACTTTCAGTCTCTCTCATATTGAAGACTGGGAAGGAGAGTATAAAAGGAGAAATATTTATGGCATACCTCAGAGCCTTTCAAGAGTATATATTTCTAAAGATTCTTATTTTTTCCTATAAACTCTTATAAACACATAGAACTGGAAAATAAACAAGGGCCTATAAATTGTCTTATTGTCTCTAAAAATTAGGGTAGACATATTATTATCTCAGCAGTATAGTTCACTGGGCAAGAAGAAAATGTGAGATTTAACATGGATGCAAATAAGAAATATTTAAACTGAAAACATCACTACAATTTTTCAACATGTAGTTTTCAGTGAACTGGTCACACTGTTTTCAGAAAATTACATCTATAATAAGACAAATCGGCAGCAATTTTGATAGCAAACTGACAGAAGGTATAATGGATACAAACCATATGAAGTTATTCCACTAACTGAATCTTTACCACTGGAAGAAGAGACAACAGGAATGCCATCATGGAGAAGGGCAGCAAGATCTTTATATCCTTCATGTAGTAGAGCATTGTAGAATGATATGTAGGAACCATTATCTTTTTTAAGTATCATTTTAATTAGCATAGCTGCTCTTTGCTGTTGAGTGGGCTAAAAAAAAAAATTAAGTAGTTTAGTATATACAACAATGAGTATGTATACAACATAAATTAGTGGAGATCAGGGCGGTTCTAAAATTCTAAAAATTTTTAAGAAAGTGTGGACTGCCTCAGAGAGCTTTACCTCATTTCTTACTTTTTCCTCTTCTAATATTGTTAAAAATCCATCACTAATCATGTGATCCATGATGTAGGATGTCTTGATGTCCTTTTCCAGAGCTTCTCTATGTTGAAGCAAACAATTTCGAGCTTTTGCATCCATCCTCCCTCAAATCTTTTTCTCTTTGAGCTGTGAACCATGAGCTACAGCCAAAACACCAAAATATTTGTCAGGCCAAATAAGTATATGAAAAGATACATAATCTCACCAGTAAACAAGAAATGTAAAAAGAACAAAACTGATTGTTTTTTCTTGGCAAAAATTTTTAAATGGACAAAACCCAATGCTTAGAAAGGTATGAGAAAATGGGCATTCTTATGCACTAATTGGGGAAAGTAGAAAACGGAAGCAATTTTTCTGTTAGGCAGTATAAGATACAGAAGTGTTTAAAGTAAGTCTTCTCTCTAACCCAGAAATCCCACTTCTAAGAATTTACCTCAAGGAGACATTCACACTCATATGTAAAAATATCCATTAGGAGAATTAATGAGCTTCAGATTAGATGTGGTGGCTCAAGCCTATAATCCCAGCACATTGGGAGGCTAGCGTAAAAAATAAAAATAAAGGCCGGGCGCAGTGGCTCAAGCCTGTAATCCCAGCACTTTGGGAGGCCGAGGCGGGTGGATCACGAGGTCAAGAGATCGAGACCATCCTAGTCAACATGGTGAAACCCCGTCTCTACTAAAAATACAAAAAATCAGCTGGGCATGGTGGTGCGTGCCTGTAGTCCCAGCTACTCAGGAGGCTGAGGCAGGAGAATTGCCTGAACCCGAGAGGCGGAGGTTGCAGTGAGCCGAGATCGCGCCATTGCACTCCAGCCTGGGTAACAAGAGTGAAACTCCGTCTCAAAAAAATAAAAATAAATAAAAATAAAAAAGAATGAATGGAGGATGTTTCAGTGATGAAAAATAATGATGGACAACCTAAGTGTCCATCATTCTGAATATGGATTTTAAAAATTAGGGTATGTATACAAAATGGAATATTATGCAGCCATTCAAAATTACAAGACACATATCTCTATGTATTGACATGGAAAGGTGTTCATAACACTGCTGCTGAAAAAACAGAAATATGATCCCACATATAACATAAAACGTGTTGGCACCATATGAAAATATATAGGAGATGTTTAGAAGTTTATTCATCAAAATGTTTGGGTTACTTCTGAGTAGCAAAATTTGGGATTTCTCCCACCCTGTCTTAATTTTTTTTTTTTTTTTGGTAGTAGAGATGGGGATTCACCATGCTGACCAGGCTGGTCTCGAACTGCTGACCTTAGGTGAGTGATCCACCAGCCACAGCCTCCCAAAGTGCTGGGATTACAGGTGTGAGCCCCACCATACCCAGCCTCTACTGTTAATTTTTTTAAAACATACATTATCATTTTTTATAATAAAATACTTCCTTTTTAAATTAAGATTGTATAAAATAGTGTTTACACTGCAGTCCTAATATTAAGAGACTTCTTGTTTTCTTTATCAAACATAAGACTGAATAGAGCATTGTTAGTATTCAGTATTAGTTCTCCTTCAAGGAGGATGTCAGTTCTAGGTCTTCCTTGCTAAACACATTTCCCACAAAGCAACAGGAAATACTTTCAGATGTTGCTTCTCGAACCAAGAGGACATGAGGAAAGATTAACAGCCTTTATAGTAAAATACTTGAAGTTTCTAGCAACTTTATTTCAAATATAATGCAAATTTTTCCATGGGCATAAAACCCAGTTCACAGTATCTACAAGTTTTCAAAACATTAACAGAACTCTATCCAATGTATAAAGTGAGTCTAAATGGGTTTATTAATTAGTTCATTCAGATTGCACGTCTAAAGGCCAAGCAGCCCCGTCGCTAGGATGCCGCGTGGAAGCCGAAGCCGCACCTCCCGCATGGCCCCTCCGGCCAGCCGGGCCCCCCAGATGAGAGCTGCGCCCAGGCCAGCACCAGCCGCTCAGCCACCAGCAGCGGCACCCCCCTCTGCAGTTGGCTCTCCTGCTGCTGCGCCCCGGCAGCCAGGTCTGCTGTCCCAGATGGTAATCACTACAGCTGGCGTGGCTGTGGGCTCTGCTGTGGGGCACACACTGGGCCACGCAATTACTGGGGGCTTCAGAGGAGGAAGTGATCCTGAGCCTGCGAGCTCTGACATCACTTACCAGGAGCCTCAGGGAACCCAGCCGGCGCAGCAGCAGCAGCCTTGCTTCTATGAGATCAAACAGTTCTTGGAGTGTGCCCAGAACCAGGGTGACATCAAGCTCTGTGAGGGTTTCAGTGAGGTGCTGAAACAGTGCCGACTTGCAAATGGATTGGCCTAATCAAGAAGTTCAAACTAGAGAAATGGAAAACCAGTTCTCATAACCAAGTTAACTTAATATAAAAATTTAATTAATAGTGAAGGTATAAAGTGTAGCCATCAGTTAAACCTCTCCTGTCATTCCCAGCTTCCTTGCTTCAGAATTGAAATGGAAAGGGGTGTTCCTCCTCTGTAGAATTTGGAGCGGGTCAAATGTTTGTGTGGCCTCCTTAAACTAGCTGTTATGATTTTATTCTTTGTGAGTTAATTAGAATAAAGTGATTTTCTTCCAAAAAAAAAAAAAAATTCATTCAATACACCTTTGTGCCCCTCCCTCTGTGTCAGGCACCAAGACTACAGAAAAAAATTGAGTCATTTCCCTGAAATAATTCACAGTCTAGTCAGAGAAGAAAAAGAGGGAGTGAGAATGTGACTATGCCGGAAGTACAAAACCAGAGCACAAGTAACTTGGAGCTCACAGAGGAGGGGCAATAATTATCAAACTTCAATGACTATTTTTTTTTTTTTTTTAAAGATGGGGTTTCACCACGATGGCCAGGCTGGTCTTGAACTCCTGACCTCAGGTGATCCACCCACCTTGGCCTCCCAAAGTGCTAGGATTACAGGTGTGAGCCACCGGGCCCGGCCAATGGCTGTTTTTGAAGTCACCAAATGTAGCACTTGGAAAAATAGGGACGTGGGGCATTTGCCTATGCTCATCACGGCTTACAAAATGCCCAGCAGTGGCACAAAACTGTTAAAAAGTTATTCATTGGAATCAAAACTCTCATTTTTTAAAATGTTAATGTTTTTGTCCTCTTAAACATAAAATGTTCCTCAATTTACAGTAATGAAATTCGATGTGATAAAAACAAGAATGAATGAATTTTTTAGGTTATGTCCAATAGCTAAGCAAATAGACACTCTGGCTTTCTGGAACTAATTTCCAATTTCACCTAGTCCTGTTAAACTAAAATATATAAACCTTAAACCCGTTTTAAAACTGCACAAATTAAAACATCTGAACAAAGCCTCAAAGGGTCCCATCTTTTGTAACCCACAACAAAATGGAAAGCAAAACTTTTCATAGATGTAAAATAGAAAGCACAGTATATGTTTATCCACAAAAACCTCAAGTTTACTACTTCCTCTTTAGATAATTTCTCTTCCTGGTACAGGAGAAGGATGGTTATCAAATATTCCATGTCCTCAAATTCCCTGTCCCTGAAATCAGCTACTGAGCCTCCAAAGAACCTGGCTCAGGGAGAAAAGTGAGGAGGTCAACTTACCCAAGCCTTAGCGCCTAGGACTTACTGGGAAGGGTGGCACTGCGGGGACAAGACTAGGAGACTCCAGGGCGATGTAGGGGAAACAGCAAAAAGGGTTTTCGTCCGGGAATCGGGAGTGCGGGGCGCTGGCTCGTCACATACCCTGTGCCCCGGGGCAGGTTCGGTCCTCACAGGCGCCTCACCTGGATCTACGCAGCCCCGGGGCGCACGAAGACCCCCAGGGACCTCCGAAAGGTGGCAAAGTGGGAGTCCACCCAAGCTGCAGCCTGACCCCACAGTCCCGGGGCGCCGCGGTGAGGCCCGGCCCGCGGGCCGCCCTCCGATGGACCCCACTCCCAGATACAAAGGGATGAGGGGTTCCCGGCCTGTGGCGCCCTTCCCACGGCGGCAGCTGCACCCCGCGGGAGCCCGGCGTTACTCCGGACGCCTCCGCGGCACCTCAAGTCTCCGCGGGTCGCCGACAGCCCAGACTCCACACCTCCGGTTCTATCCCTTTTGCCCAGGGAGAGAAAAGACGCTTCCACTCGCTACCTCTTCTTCTCCGCCTCTGTACAGCTGAGCAGCCAAAACCCGCCGGGTACGCCCAGCCCGGACGGCGCGCGCCCGCTTATGCAAATAAACACACCCTAAGCCCCAAGGGGCGACCCCGGCTGCCGCCGCGCACTCCCGCCGCTGCTCCTGCCCGCGCGCGTAGGGGAAGTGCCCGCCTACCGCGCGGAGAGGGCGTGACTAAGGCACAGGGACAGGCCGCTTTCTCACCAAGGCAGAATTCGGGCCACGGCGGCGCGCTCGACGTGGCGCGCGCGCGCCCCCTCCCCTCCTCCTTTAGTCCCGTCAGCCTGCGCGCGCCCGGGAGTTTGAATTTCCTCGAATTTGGAGCAATCTCGTAGCGGAAGGTGCTGCGGCGTGAGGTCGCCGCCAATCTCGACTAGGGGAACTAGGGAGCAGGTAGCTGAAACACTCAGTGAATCAGAATCAACGAGGATGGCGGGGAGAAGGAAGGGGCTGGGCTCTGGGCGGTGCCAAGTCTGTGAGGGGGCGCGGTCACCGCCCAGGATTCCCGCAGACGCCTAGGCGGCCACGTCCTGCTTCCCGGGTGAAGAAGCCGCCCGGGACTTGTCGTGCTAGGGCCTCCAGACATGTCTGAGGTGAAGAGCCGGAAGAAGTCGGGGCCCAAGGGAGCCCCTGCTACGGAGCCCGGGAAGCGGAGCGAGGACTGTAAGAGCCCCGAGGCCCCGGGCGGCGGAGGCGGGGGCTGGGCGGACCCCCGGACGGGCCTGAGTCTGCTGTCGCTGGGGACTTGCCTGGGCCTAGCCTGGTAAGTGGACGCGAGGCTCCCCTGGCCAGCCTCCTGTGAGCTCGCTGCTGCTTGGGCTCCCACCCGGCTCCGCATCCCGACGGAGGTGATCCAACCCCCCAGACCTGGGCCTTCTGCGCCTCTGTCTCTACCCCAAAGGAAGGAAACCAGCCTTGTTTTTCCCTTTCGCGCGTTTCCTGTATCCCATTTTCTCCCGTACTGGTAGCATGCCCATATCGCTCAGACGGAGTTGAGGCTAAGGTTTGGGAACTAGCCGTTTGTTAAGAGATGCAGATTCGGCCACACTTTCTGAAGCGCGCGATACATGTCGGAAGCGTTCATGTTATATTAAACCGTTACTTCTTGTCCACTGTGCCCCAGTCCGGGACACATCTGCCCCATTCTCCTTGCCTCATAAATGCCTAATGGAAATACTTACAACCTTAAAACAGATCATTATGTTGGGAAACAGATCATTATGTTGGGAGACCGAGGCAGGTGGACCACTGGAGGTCAGGAGTTCGAGACTAGCCTGGTCAACATGGTGAAACCCCGTCTCTACCAAAAATACGAATAATTAGCCGGGCGTGGTGGTGGGCCCCTGCAGTCCCCGTCTCTACCAAAAATACAAATAATTAGCCGGGCGTGGTGGTGGGCCCCTGCAGTCCCAGTTACTCCGGAGGCTGAGGCAGGAGAATCGCTTCAACCCGGGAGGCAGAGGCTGCAGTGAGCCAAGATTGCACCACTGCATTCCAGCCTGGGCGACCGAGAGAGACTCCGACTCAGTCTCAAAAAACAAACAACAACAAAAAAAACAGATCGTTATTATAACAGCAGAGTTTGGAGGAGACCTCATATGTTGATCACCGTGCATGCATTATGAATTTAAGGTCTTTTACCAAGTTAGTTACAGATTGAACTTCGATATGGTAAAGCTACAAAAATATAGCACTAGAGTGCACTTTAAACAGTTGCAGTTTTTAAACCAGGTAAATGTGGATATATTGTTGTCATTAGGAAAAATGAATATTGGAAATATTCGTTACAACCAACTCGTGAATTTTATTTTCTGAATTTTTTTTGGGGGGGGAGGGAATAGCCCATTTCATTTTAATAAGAGTAGCACCTTAATAGAATTTTTGTCCATTTTTCATTTCTTTGTAAAGTTATTTAGTAAGACTGTTGTCAATCTTCCAGAGTGATCAAATTTTAGAAGAGATCCTGGATGTCTAGAACATTTTTGATGCTAGTACATATAGAATTATACTTTACTGGTGACTCATCTCAAATTGTGTATTTTTCAGAGTTAAAAGATTTGTTACAACCAAGCTCGGTGGCTCACGCCAGTTATCCCAGCACTTTGGGAGGCCGAGGTGGGTGGATCATGAAGTCAAGAGTTCGAGACCAGCCTGGCCAACATAATGAAATCCCGTCTCTACTAAAAATACAAAAATTAGCTAGGCATGGTGGCACACACCTGTAATCCCAGCTATTCAGGAGGCTGAGGCAGGAGAATCACTCTATCTGGGGAGGTGGAGGTTACAGTGAGCTAAGATTGCACCATTACATTCCAGCCTGGGCAACAGAGCCAGACTCTGTCTCAAAAAATAATTTCTTTTAAATTTTGTTACAATAAAGTAATTAAATGCTCTCTTCAAAAATGACAGAATTGTCAGTTGGCAGTGGTGGCTCATGCCTGTAATCCCAGCACTTTGGGACGCCAAGGCAGGCAGATCACCTGAGGTCAGTCGTCCGAGACCAGACTGGCCAACATGGCAAAACCCTGCATCTACTAAAAATACAAAAAAACCTGGCATGGTGGCACGCTCTGTAATCCCAGCTACTCAGGAGGCTGAGGCAGGAGAATCACTTGAACCCAGGAGGCAGAGGTTGCAGTGAGCCAAAATCATGACACTGTTCTCCAGCCTGCAGGATGGAGCAAGACTCCGTCTCAGGAAAAAAAAAAAAAAAAAGATAGCATTGTTTATTTTACTAATACAGAATATGTTAATTTTGATCTGAAAGGAATAAATGTACTGAATTTACTGTTTTAAATAAACTGCTCTTATGCCTTAAAAAGAGTGACCTTCTTTAAGTAAATTTAAAAAAAAAAAAAACCTTTTTGGGCCAGATGTGGTGGCTCACACCTGTAATCCTAGCACTTTGGGAGGCCGAGGTGGGCTAATCACTTGAGGTCAGGAGTTTAAGACCAGCCTGGCCAACATGGTGAAACCCCATCTCTACCAAAAATACAAAAATTAGCTGGACCTGGTGGCGCATACCTGTAATCCCAGCTACTCAGGAGGTTGAGGCAGGAGAATCACTTGAACCCAGGTGGTGGAGGTTGCAGTGAGCCAAGATCTGCCACTGCACTCCTGGGTGACAGAGCAAGACTTGCCTAAATAAATAACCTTTTTTGTATCGGGAAAGAGTTACTATCCTGGTTAGCTTTAATAGAAAACTAAACTTTATGGGAATAAAACATCAGGAATTTGCTGTCAGTGATTCTTTACTGCCTGCAGACAATAAAGACCAAAATGTATTACATTCATTAGGAAGATTTCATTTGAGCTATGTGTTTGCAAAATGATAAAACATTGCTATATCAAAAATAATTTTGGGGGCCAGACGCAGTGGTTCATGCCTGTAATCCCAGCACTTTGGGAGACTGAGGTAGGAGAATCGCTTGAGGCCAGGAGTTCGAAACCAGCCTGGGAAACATAGACCGTGTCTACAAAAAAAATGTTAAACAGCCAAGTGTGGTGGCGTTCACGTGCCTATAGTCCCAGCTACTTGGGAGGCTGAGGTGGAAGGATAGCTTGAGCCTGGGAAGTCAAGGCTGCAGTGACCGATGATTATACCACTGTGCTCCAGTCTGAGAGACAGAGAAAGACCCTGTGTCTCTAAAATATATGTATTATATGTATATTTTTATGGGCACATTCTACTATTATTTAAATAGTTGACAGTTGCTCTTGTGAAATCTTTTGCTGCTAAAATTGAAGAATATGTACTGTACTTTGGTTACTGTTTATAGCAAAATATTTATTCATAGTAAATTTAGAAATAAAAATTTATCACCATAAGACATTCGTAAATATTTTCCAAGTAAAAAGCAAGTATTTGGCATCTTAAAATACTTAAAAGCTCCCTAGGATTTTAACAAAGCCATTGAAATCTTTACCACTAAAACACATAATTTAGTATCTAAAAGTCAGTCCATCAAATCCTTATTAAATGCTTTCTGTACTGACACGGCCCTGGTGGTTAAAATACAAGTGCCTGTGTGTCTCTCTGTGTACTCTTAAACACTGCTTATCTGTCCTCTCATCCTTCATCTGATTAAGTTGGAGGAAAAAAATCTGAACCCTTTCACTGCCCAAGGAGGATTTCAAGGAATTACACTATATCATTGTCTTCAGACCATTTTCTATTTGGAAAGAAAAGAGAAATAATATATAAGAAACTTAGAAGTGTGTTGCTTTAATATTTTCTCCCTGCTAAATAAAGGCCTGATAGGCCGGGTGCAGCGGTGCCTCCCACCTTTATAATCCCAGCACTTTGGGAGGCCAAGGCGAGTGGATCACTTGAGCTCAGGAGTACAAGACCAGCCTGGGCAATGTGGTGGAACCCTGTCTCTATGAAAAATACAAAAAAAATAGCATGCCTACAGTCCCAGCTACTTGGGGGGACTGAGGTGGGAGGATCACTTGAGCCCTGGAGTTTAAGGTCTCAGTGAGCTATGATTGAGCCACTGCACTCAGCCTGGGTGACAAAGTGAGACCCTATGTCAAGGAAAAANTAGAACCAAACATTCTACAGCCTGATAGAGTCAGTGAGAAGCTCTAAACAGAACAATCTGGTGAAAGTAACTCCTTCTAGAAATACCACAATCATATAAGTGTTAAAGAGAAAAAAAAAATTGTCCACCAACTAAACAACAACAGCTATTGCCAAGTTACCTTCCAGGCACTTATGTGAGGAGTCACAATTTTTGAAGTATTAAAAAAAAAAAAAGCATGATATATCCTATGGAAAATTTTCAGATGAAAGAATTGAGATGCTGCTTTCAGAAAGTTAAAAAGTTGTGAAATTACTAAACAAGACACAAAACCTGTCACACATGCTTATTTAATTACATAGAAATTTAATCAGCTGGAAATTCCATTGTGAAAATTGTGTTTCTTATGGATATTTCAACAGATTTTTTTCATTGCTTTTATAAAAGTTTTTTATAGTATCTGTTATAATTATGTACAAAAAGTCAAAAGCTCTTTAAACAAGTCATATAACTGGTATTTTGTTGTTGTTGTTGTTATCCAATATAATTTTCTCTATAAATCCAACTGTAAAACCTTGGCTAATTCCATTTCTAGTTCTAGTTTTCTTTCTGTTAGGAGAGTTTTATCTAAAAGACAAGGGTATACTTTAAATGCCCTGCTTCTTAAAAATGGAATATGGTCAAGGTTTTCTTGAAACCTAGGTATTGTGCTAAAAATGAGGCTATGGATGATATGAAACATAGGGCTAAGTGGAGACTGACCCTAATAGTGGCCCTGGAACTTCTTTCCTTGCAGGAGGTCTATAACAACAGCTTCCTTTGGTTATTTGCCTCTTTTTCATTAAGCTGAAATAGAGCCAGAGGAAATCCTGAATTTATAAGTCCTCAGTCAGCTGCCTGCCACCATGTAACCTTCCTAAAGGAACTATACAGAGGCAACACACACCAATAATTACCACCATGCACTGTAGGGAAATGTAAACCATTCATTACCAAACGACCCTAGATAGATCTGTATGAGATCTCTATAGACTGCAATGGCTTATGAAGGAATCAGGAAGATTCTTTTTGTAAGGCCTACACTAAAAGTAGCCTGGGGTCCCTTTCTCCTATGTCTAACTCTTCCACAAGGCTATATGACATGATATGATATAATAGTGAGAAGAGGCCCAAAAACAAGAGGTTTTTTTTTTAGTGATTTATAAGTGGTATAATCTATCTAATCTGTTCCATCCTTCAT